AAGTTTCGGTGTGAGATATGTAAATACATAAGAATTGTTTGCTATATATGTAAATTCCCCTTTGATCTATTTTGTTTGTAATATAGTACATTGAACTACTTAAAGACATTTATTATTTACATTTAAAGTTGCTGTGTTACTACCAGCAGATATTATTTTCTTAATTGAGTGTTTTGCTTATATCCGACCTTCTCTTGCAGGAAACTGATGTGGAGAGCACATTATCAAATGATTGGGAAAAAAAAGGTTCTTTCTGTCCTCATATAATCTCTATGTTTGCATATGATATTAATAGAACTTCTGTATTTATATCATGTAATTCACCCTTTTGAAACCCTGGTATTTATGTAAAAATCAGTTTCCAATCAATTTCAGATAACTAATAGAATACAAACTTTCAAATAGTTTATGAGTGCTGACAATGGTGAAGGCATGCTATTCATTTTAATGAAATTTACATACAACCACACAATTCTTTTGTATTCACATATGTAACACCCAAAGTTTGATATTTACTTTTATAACATTTTGGTGTTATAAACCTATGCATGAAAAGATGTATTTTACTTTCAAAAACATAATAATAGCGGTACTTTTGATGTGATGTTAAAGATTTGAGTGGTATGCATGTAAATAACTAAGTTTAGTTGTTAGATATGTAAACATATAAGAATTCTGTGGTCTGTAGACCCTTTTTTTGATGGACGCTTTGTACTGAGTGTTAAGGACATCACATGATAATGGTATGTTACACAATAAATGTTCCTAGAAATACAAATTTGGCATCATTTGCCTTCCAATTTGCTGTTCATGCTTTATTTGTTATAAACGTAATTATTTTTGGCATTTTGTTAAAACATGCTTATCTGTGCTTAAATTGGTTGTATAATTCCTTAAATATCATATGCAAACACAGATTATTACGGGTCAGTTAAAGGTCTGCCATCTAATATTCAACTTTTATTACTGATTTTTATGTTTTTTAATCTTTGCTGCTTGTTTTTTTTAATAGCTTTGTTGCTGTTGCTCATATTTTAGTTTGCAGTCAATTTGTTTAAATTGCATAACTGTGCTTTATTCAGCTTTAAACTGTAATTAAAAAATATTATTGTCCGTTGCACTAACATATGACATCAATTCTAGGCTTAAGTGGTGTGAAGAGGAAGGAAGCAAGTTTTAAGGATGAAGACTTCTATATAAGTTCTGTTCCAGCTAATCAAGTATGCTATCTGATAAACTTCTGCTAATCGTTTTTTTAATTCGTCTTTAGTATTTGGGCGATCATTATGTGTCCGATCGTTCCTGGTTACGACCATATAAATTTTAGGGGCATTTACATACATACCACCTAATTTCTATGTATTCAGGTATCTAATACCTAAACTTTATTTTTATATTTTTAACACAAATCTTTCACATCACATAAACAAATACCACTATTTTGACTTTTTAAAAATGAAATACAGAATTTCATTCATATGCAAACAGACATATATGCAAAAAAAAGAAATTTAGGTGCTAGATATATAAATACCTAGGAATTGAGTGGTATGCATGTAAATTTTACTAAAATTTAATCATTATGATTATGGCGGTGTAGCTACAACTGATGCAACATTTTCTTTGCTTAGCACCTGGAGGCAGGACTATCTGTGAAGGGAAACCATGGTTTTACTTCTCAGAGGTAAGGATTTACTTAGATTCTCTTGAATTTTTCGCTTTGTTTTTTCCAATTAGCTTCTCTTTTCAATGTTTGGAGGCCTTTTGAGGGCAACACTAACATTATCCTTATTATTTGTGGCCATTTTTTGAATCCTCCTCCATTCCCTTCAGCCGGGTGTTGCTTAGGATGTTAAATCAAATTTTGCATAAGATGTTTTGGTAAAACTTCTAGACATATTATATGTCGGTTACTATTTTTGTTTGGATTTTTTTTCCCATTTCTACTTTATTACATTCCTCCTGTCTTCACAAAGCAAATTGATGTTTAGGGAGCTTCTAAATGAGTTGCTATGAAGTGTTTACTAGAAAGTGATCTAGAAAGTTATGAAGTTGCTTTGACTACTTAAAAATACTTTTTGAAATGATATTAATAGAACTTCTGTATTTATATCATGTAACCAACCCTTTTGAAATTTATGTAAAAGTCAATTTCCAATCAATTTCAGATAACTAGTAAAATACAAACTTTTAAATAGCTTTTGACAGTGCTGACAATGGTGAAGGTGTGCTATTAATTTAAGAGAAATTTACATACTACCACACAATTCTTTTGTATTTATAAACCTATGCATGAAAAGATGTATTTCACTTTCAAAAGTTAATAATAGTGGTATTTTTGATGTGATGTTAAAGATTTGACTGGTATGCATGTAAATATCAAAGTTTAATTTTGTAAATATGTAAACAAATAAGAATTCTGTGGTATGTAGCCCATTGATTGTATCGACGCTTTGTACTGATTATTAAGGACATCGCATGATAATCTTATGTTACACAATAAATGTTCCTAGAAATACAAATTTTGCATCACATGCCTTCTAATTTGCTGTTCATGCTTTATTTGTTATAAACATAATTATTTTTGGCATTTTGTTAAAACATGCTTATCTGTGTTTAAATTGGTTGTATAATTTTTTGCCTGCTGATATTTCTGGCATCTAATATTACATGTTTGCCCTTTATCTACTTCGGTTAAGGGTCTGCCATCTAATATTCAACTTTTATTACTGATTTTTATGTTTTTTAATCTTTGCTGCTTGTTTTTTTTAATAGCTTTGTTGCTGTTGCTCATATTTTAGTTTGCAGTCAATTTGTTTAAATTGCATAACTGTGCTTTATTCAGCTTTAAACTGTAATTAAAAAATATTATTGTCCGTTGCACTAACATATGACATCAATTCTAGGCTTAAGTGGTGTGAAGAGGAAGGAAGCAAGTTTTAAGGATGAAGACTTCTATATAAGTTCTGTTCCAGCTAATCAAGTATGCTATGTGATAAACTTCTGCTCGTTGTAATTAAATCATTTTTTTTAATTCGTCTTTAGTATTTTGGCGATCATTATGTGTGCGGTCGTTCCTGGTTATGACCATATAAATTTTAGGGGCATTTACATACATACCACCTAATTTCTATGTATTCAGGTATCTAATACCTAAACTTTATTTTTATATTTTTAACACAAATTTTTCACATCACATAAACAAATACCACTATTCATTCATATGCAAAGAGACATATATGCAAAAAAATGAAATTTAGGTGCTAGATATATAAATACCTAGGAATTGAGTGGTATGCATGTAAATTTTACTAAAATTTAATCATTATGATTATGGCGGTGTAGCTACAACTGATGCAACATTTTCTTTGCTTAGCACCTGGAGGCAGGACTATCTGTGAAGGGAAACCATGGTTTTACTTCTCAGAGGTAAGGATTTACTTAGATTCTCTTGAATTTTTCGCTTTGTTTTTTCCAATTAGCTTCTCTTTTCAATGTTTGGAGGCCTTTTGAGGGCAACACTAACATTATCCTTATTATTTGTGGCCATTTTTTGAATCCTCCTCCATTCCCTTCAGCCGGGTGTTGCTTAGGATGTTAAATCAAATTTTGCATAAGATGTTTTGGTAAAACTTCTAGACATATTATATGTCGGTTACTATTTTTGTTTGGATTTTTTTTCCCATTTCTACTTTATTACATTCCTCCTGTCTTCACAAAGCAAATTGATGTTTAGGGAGCTCCTAAATGAGTTGCTATGGAGTGTTTACTAGAAAGTGATCTTGAAAGTTATGAAGTTGCTTTGACTGCTTAACAATATTTTTTGGGGCATTTACATAGATGCCACCCAGTTCTTATGTATTTACACATGTAACACCTAAATTTAACTTTGTTACATTTATACCACCCAAATCTTTCATACCACATAAAATACCACCATTTTATCTTTAAAAAGTGAAATACATCTTTTCATGCATGGATAAGGTGGTTATATGTAAAAATTGAAGTTTAGGCGTTAGATATGTAAATACGTAAGAATTGTGTGTTATGTAAATCTTCCTTATTTTATTTGATGATGGTTGAAAAATTTGTTAGGAAGCTAAAAACTGTAATCTAAATTTTTTTGCTTTGATTTTTATGAATGCTTAGTTTTTTTGTATAATGGCTCTGACCTGTGGAATTTTCTTAGAATTTCTAGTTAAGACTTACATAAACTTTAGTCTAATTAAGACTTATATTTTCTTCATGATTATGGGATTCTTGAGAGTTCAAAGCAGTTTAGTATTTCTAGTTTTATTTTTATTGTCATTATATCTTAGGGACATGTTATAATAATTGGAAAATGATTTTAGGTACTTTGGGTACTAAGTAGTTGGTAGATAGAAATAACACAAAAGTTTTGGGTATTAAAATGAGTCGAGTAAAGATAACACGGCCGAAAGTAATGCATCAAGACTGACCCAAATTAGAGCTAACACCATATGTAATGTTCAATCAAAGAATGAATGGTGGATAGTTCTCCTTGGGAGACGTCCAATATAATTGGAATTATGTAGAAAATCTTCTCTTGGAAAATTTTCTCTTGGGAAGTTCTCATGCTGCACCCTATTAAACCGCTCCCTACAGTGCCGTCTTCCAAATAATTTGAAAATTATGTTAAGCGCAAGACTAAGGGTCTGTTTGGGGCAACTGCAACTATTTGAAGAAATTACTGTGAAGCTATTATAGAAGTTGCAATTCAAAAAACTGCAACGACTATTACAATTTTTTTTTAAAGACTTTGATTGCAGCTTTCTAACAACCACCGCATTTAGGGTTTGTTTGAGGGAGCTTAATTGTTCATAAATCCTTCTTTAAAGGCCACATGAAGATAAGTACGAACTAAAGTAATGCTTGTTGAAGTGAATATTATTGTTTGAGGAAAATAAATTGTCTCACATTTTATATTAGAAAAGTCTATAATAACCATATCTCTTTTAGGGGTCAGTGATTAAAGCATTACAGTGGAAGAAACACTCAGAGTATCTGGCGTTTCAAAGTTGTTGAAAATAAACATTGCGATGGAAAAACGATTGGAGCACCTAGCTAGGTCCGTTGCAAAGTATAGCTTTTCACCACAACTTTTTAAAAAGCTGACAAAATGCAGGTTTGCCAAACACTAGAAAGTGCGGTGCTTCATTGCATCACCACCACACCGCTGGCCCAAACACACCATGAATCGACAATTTAATCATTTGTTAGCTTTTATTGTGGGGTTTAAATATGACTTAATATGTTTATGGTTAGGTTATGTTTGATTGCTATCTTGAATCTTAGGGTTAGGGTTTGGGAGAGATTACCTACCTCTTGAATTGTTGGTGTTTTTCATATATATATTTGGGATTATATCATTTGATTTGATATTCACGTAATAGATTTTATTATTTCTGCCCTAATTCCTACGAAAACTTCTCTCTCCTATTAATTCATGGTACAGGGTTCCACCTTTGCGGCTGTACATTGCAATTCAAGCTAGCTCGGAAGCCAACAGCGGGATTGCAGCGTACAGTGTTCGTCTTTGGGACCAAACCTCACAATAAGGTCGCGATTTGAGCTTGCTGGGAAGTCAACGATGTGATCGCGACGCACAAAGTTCCGGTTTTGTGACTAAACCTTGCGGTACCATCATAATTCTTGCCAGGTGAGAAGCCAATGACGGAATCACATCGTACAAAATTTTGTTTTGGTGACCGAACATCATGATATAGTCACAATTCGAGCTAGTCGGCCAGATTGCGACGTACAGGGTTCAACCTTCGTTACCAAACCGCGCGACTGTTTCACGATTCGAGCTAGTTCGGAGGCCAATGACAAGATTATGACGTACAAGGTTTCGCTTTAATCACTGACCCTCACGATGCAATCACGATTCAAGCTAGCTAGGAAGCCAAAAATGGGATCACAATGTATAATAGTTTTGCCTTGGTGATTGAAAACCGTCTAGGTGTAATGGTGGCCAAGAAAGTAGATGCATTGGAGTATACATTAGAGGGAGAGGTGTTCCAAATTAGATCTAAAATGGAGGAATATGATACAATCTGACGTATAAAAAGACACAAATTTTCACAAAAATTAGGGCAAAGTAAATATTTTTCTGTAATAATCCAAATAACTCAACACGAATATAAAGATAAACACTTATAATTTGAGAGATAGGAGATCTCTCTTAATTTCTAAAATTCGAGAGATAGGAAATCTCTCCCAAACCTTAAACCTAAGACTTACCTCAATAATCTAATGCATACCTAATCCTAAACTTATTAAGGTCTATTTATTACAAACAATAATAAATAATAAAATGCTCAATTGTCCTTAGGTGCATAAATGACAAAATTGTTCTTGGGCTAGACAGCTACATAACAGATTGTTTCTCGGCCATGGATGGACGATTCTTGTCAATGTAGGGGAGATTCATGGCCTTGGAAGAAATGGTGATCACAACGTTTCAAGCAAACTTGTCGACGATCGCTGCTGGATTGAGCGACGACTTTTGGATTGGAGTAGAAGTGAGCGACAACAATCAAAAAGATTTACGTGCCATTAGGGTAGTGTTGCTGCATTAGGCGGATTAGGAGTTGTGGGACTGAGCAAAGGAATCGAGAGCGGACTCGAGTGGTAACACTTGGAAGTGCGATATCCAGACAATTGGAATGAACAAAAGCATGGGGGATCGAGTATTGGAATCATGAGTAGATTCGAGCGACGTTATTTGGAAGGGATCGCACATCTGAAAGTTTGGAATGAGCGACAATAGGAGCAACAAGATAATATGCAATTCAAAGTTGGAGAAGGTTGATTTGAAGGGTTGCTACCTGGAACAAGGAAATCAATTGAGGGATGCATCCAACAGTGTTAGTGTCTTTGCTGCAGTAGCCTTCTGGCGAAAGATGATTCAGTAGTATATGTTGATGGGCAAACTGATTACAGTGCAGTGAATAAGGAAACAATACTTGACAAATTTCTCATCCCAATGATTGATGAGCTATTAAACGAGTTGTTTGGGGTTCTAATATTTTTTAAGATTGACACGAAGTCATGATATCATCAGATTCAAATGCGGTCGATGGATGTGCACATGATTGCATTTCAAACTCATGAGTGTTACTATAAATTTATGGTTATGCCATTTAGGCTCACCAACACACTTACTACATTTCAACCACTGATGAATAAGTTGTTTCAGCCTTTCCCTTGGAAGTTTGTGTTGGAGGTCCTTGAAAGAGATCCTAGTGCACAACCGTTCCCTGGAAAACCACGTTGATCGTTCGAAGATGCTGACGGTACTCGGAGGTGTTTACGAATCCATCGACAAAGCAATTGAAGGACAATTTTTAGTGGGCGAAAGTTGTGACCCAAACTTTTTAGAAATAAGACCATGAGGATTGTACTAATGATGGCAGTATTTGATTTTAACCAACCATTTATTGTTGAGATGGGTGCCTCAAGCTATGGTTTAGACGCATTCCTCATGCAATGTTAATGGCTCATCGCTTATTTCAGTCAAGTGCTGACAGGAGAGCTAGACTCAAGTTAGTTTATGAATGAGAGTCATACGACTTGATTCAGTAGGAGTTTTCTTTCTTCCAACTTGAGGACAAGGTGTATTTTTGAGACGGGAGTAATGTTAGACCAGTGCACATGACATCATCAGCCTCATGCTCCACTCAATCGATGCTGGGCCCGCCAATTATCAACCATTGAATAAGGAAATAATACCTGACAGTTTCTATCTCGAACTCATTAGGGTCTAACATTATTCACTTCCTGCCAACTATTACCTCCAATTATCTGGTACTATTTTCTTATTTACTTCCATTTAATCAAGCTGAATATGTCGATCTTTGAAGGAGAGGATGCTTGTGGTTGAGTTTATCACTTGGAGGGATACTTTGCTATCAATAGGTTGACAAATGAAGAAAAATTGATGGTATCGGTCTTGTATTTGAAAGGGAAGGCTCTAGCATGATATCAATGGAGAGAATAATGTCAACCAATCATAACATGAGGAGAATGCAATGATTAATTGTTGGGGCATTTTAAACCGATTAAATGGAAAGGATTACCAACTAATGACGTCAAATGGGAGCATATGAATTGATCCAAGAACAATTTCCTCTTATCCACCTTGAGGACAAGGTGTTTTGCTTGGAGGTGAGTCATGTTAGACCGGCGTCGATTGTGCCATCCACATAACCTGAACACTTATGTTAAGTGCAAGGCTAAAAATACAATTTAATCATTTGTTAGTTAACATTTTTGGGTATAAACAGGGCTTAATATGTTTAGGGTTATGTCATGTGTGATTGTTATCTTAAATCTTAGAGTTAGGATTTGGGAAAGATCTCCCACCTCTTGAATTATAGGTGTTTATGTATTTGGGATTTTATCGTTTTGAATTGGTACCAGTGGAATAGATTTTATTTATTTTTGTCCTAATTCCCGTGGAAACTTGTCTGGATACTATCCCACACTTAAAAAAAAAGGATGATTTACATACATTTGAACATACCACTTTATTCCAATGTATTTACATATCTAACACCTAAATTTCAATTTTTACATTTTTCACTTTACATATGCATGAAAACTGCATTTAACTTTTTTAAAATTAAATTAGTGATATTTTTTATGTGATTTGAAAGATTTGGGTGGTATGAATGTAGAAAGTGAAGTTTGGGTGTTTGATATGTAAGTATATAGGAATTGGGTGGTATGTATGCAAAAGCCCCTAAAAAAAGAAAAAAAAATGATTGATTGATTTGGCCGGTGCATATTATTGTGATAGCTAAAAATAATTAATAATGTGATGATGCAATTTAGGGTGCACTAATTTACGAATTTGCAGATTGGAGACTGCTGTCCTTGATCTAGTTGCTGATGATAGTTCTACAATGCAGAAACAAAAATCTATATATCATTGGGATAAGGTATTTAATTGAAAACATCTTCCTTTTTTAAAGGCCTAATAAATACTCTTATTTTTTTTTTTCTTGTTGACAGAGAAGTAAGAAGTACATCAAATTGAACAATGGTGAACGCGTCACAGCTACTGGAAAGGTAATGTAGCACTTTATAAGCTTTCCTATGCGTAGTTCTACTGTGATACCTAATCAGACATGGTGTAGTGAAGCTTCACATTTATAAAGGGGTATTAAAAGTAATATTTATTGATATAGTTCACCACACTAAATTTTTCATTGAATGCAAAATTATGTCTCTGGACTTCACATACAACAACCACAACAACAAGCCTTTATCACATTCAGTGGGGTCGGCTACATGAATATTTTTTCTTCATTGCGTTGTACTGAGTGTCATATTTTCATCTAATTCTAATAAATTAAGATTATTTTTTATACAATATGCCCAAATCTTTATATGTCTATATCTGCCATTCTTAACATATGTTGAAAATAAATATTTAATTTCTAATTCTAGTATGTTATGTTATATGAACGGTTTCTTTACTATTAAGTAGTGGAGTAAATGAGCCAAGTGTAGCGGTGAAAATGAGATGAGCAAGCTTATTGTTTGTTAATGTTCTTTTTGTTTGAACATTTGTTTGTTTGAATTTGACCCACCCATGTTAAAACTTGTTCTTAAATTTGCTTTTCAAGTTTGTTTTGTATTGATCGTAACGAGCTCGATTGGCTCTTATCGGTTCAAATTTTTTTCCAAATTATTAAAAGCTCTCAACTTTTTTTATAAATAAACATTCACAAAATGTCTAGAATCAATAAATAACATATTGTAAATAATTGTTATGACTGAAAAATTATAATAATTCTAATAATTTATTCTTATTAGAAGTGATGATTAGATTTATTTCATATCATAACTTTATTTCATTTCTTATTTAAGACTTATTTTGTTGGATTGGATTTATTTCCTTTCCTATTTTAGATTTTTCTATTTTATGTTGTTTTCTTTATCTCCAAATAATTAATATGAATTGTTTAATTGGAGATATTAAGTGATATATTCTTTCATATTCTTTCCTTTTTATTGTTTTTCCTATTCTAGGATTCATGTAAAAGTTATTTATACCCCTTTCATATTAATAAAATAATTCTGCTTTATTCCGCATTATTCTAAATTTCAACATGGTATCAGAGCCTTGAAACAAACCCTAGTGTCTCCCGCCATGGGAAAACTTTATATTCCCTGCATTCGGCAATCTTTGCCTTGCTAACAGACCCTTCCAATACCTCTTTTCAATTTTTCTGCTGGAAGCTTCCTCTCCCTACAGGACCCTCCGCTAGAATTCCCTCATGCAGCCTTTCCCTCTGCAGACTCTTTCCTCTGCAATTTCTTTTATGCCTACAGGTCATACCTGCAACCAACAATTTTTCCTTGACTGCTGCCATAGTCGCAACTGTTTTCCTCATTGTTTTGATCTTGGGCGTGGAGGGATTTGGCTCCGACGCCACTATGGCTGTTGTGGATTCCTCGGGGACCATTTGTGGCATCTTCACCGGTGCTAAAAAACGGAGCCTTTATTGTGCGCAAGGAGGGCAGCAGGCGTTCTCCGTATCACCAAACTTCTCCTTGAGTTGGTCTCTGGTGGCCGTGATTTCTGCGTGCTTCGTTTTGGCGGACTCAGCTTCTTCTGTTGGAGCAACACAAAAATGATCCTCTTTCCTCCCCGCTAAGTGGGTCTATAAGGGCTCCACTGCCATCACCGACCTTAATGTTGGCCAGAATCAAATCGTGCCAGAGAAGAAAACTATCATAATCAGGTGGTGGCATGGGGACGAATCATTTCCGCTAGCCGCCCTCGACACTCACTAGTATATTACCTTCTAGAGAGGGTTTTCTTTCGGGATTGGGAATATACGATGTTGGGGAGGCCTTGCTTGTATATTGAGAGCGTGTTTTTGAATTCTTCGATGGTGAGCATCACTGTTGGAGACTCCCATGCCCGCATAATCACTATCTCAGGTTTGTTGATCTGCAGGGGAAGCAACAGTTCCGGTCAATTGAAAGCTTCATCTGGAAATGCCTTCGAGTTTTCTGGTCTAGCACTCATGCTGGACTATTTGTGTGCCATAAAGAAACATAATGGGATTGTCTTCGGTTGGGGTGGTGTCGTCGGAGACCGAAGTTATTCTCCCGTGGAAAACACCTTATTCGAATCTTTCATCGCAGGTGACGACCTCAAAACGAAGCAGGTCACATCAATTTTTATTCTCCCGTGGAAAACACCTTATTCGAATCTTTCGTCGCAGGTGACGACCTCACCTGCACACTGATCACCGAGAATTTAATAGTGCTATGCTTAAGAGCAGATCACATCAATACCTGTCACCGTTTTACCTCTACCTGCAATCAATGCAGGAATCTGCGTTTCTGAAAAAAATATACTATTTATATATATTTAAATGTGGCATCTTTCCTGGTTCTGAGACTGTTCTAGGTCTAGGGGCTCCAATATAAACTTGTTGCCACCGTTAGCGGCTCAACCACCAACTTTGTAATTGGCTTCGACATCTTCGTCATTGAAGAAGAGCAAAGTGTGGCTTGCCTACAATATCATTTGGTCTGTTTTGTCCTTTGTCGGGCCGTGCACCATCCTGTATTTTGTATGGGCCAACATTTTTTGGTGAAAAAGAAGTCCACAATTATGTGTAGCTCACAATCTTCCGTAACGACAACACTTCAGCAAGTCCACCTTTGGAGTTTTTCTCTGCAACAAGCCTTCCTTTTTTTGCAAGTGTTCTTAATTTTTAACTGCAGGTCATACTCTGTAGCTTTCCTTGCAGGTAGTCTCACTTTTTTTTACTTGCAGGCCGTACCTTGCAGCTTTTATTGTAGGTCGTCTATTTCATTGCAAACTCCCCTGTAACATTATCTGTAGGTGTCTTCTACATATCTACAGACACTATAAAAACTATAGCTAAAGACAACTGCAGTCAACTAGAAGTCAACCTTTCCTACATGTTATCTACTTTCCTGCAAACCCCCCTGCAATATTATCTGTAGGAGCCTTCCGCCTACCTACAGACATTGCAGGAATTCAGTCAAGGACAATCGTTGTTGTTTACTTCCCTGCAAATTCCTTTGTATTATTACTGTTACACCTATTTTTTGACACTACAGGAACTGTAGTCAAAGATAACCGCAGTACGGGCATAGGATTTCCCTCGCTCATTGTTTGATGTTTTCAAATCCAAGTTTAACATAATTTTCAACTATGTTTCAACTTGAGGGAGAATGTTACAATTTATATTTGGAAATAATTTGTTCCTATTATAAGTGATGATGATTAGATTTATTTCCTAATATAATTTTATTTTATTTTCTATTTTAGGTTTATTTTCTTGAATTGGATTTATTTCTTTTCCTATTAGGCTTTCCTATTTTATGTTGTTTCCTTGATCTCCAAATAATTAATATGAATTGATTAATTGGAGATATTAGACTATATGTATTTCCTTTCATGTCTTCTTTTTATTGTCCTTCTTATTCTATGATTTATGTAAGTGTTATTTATACCCCCTTTCATATCAATAAAATCATTTCGCTTTATTCCGCATTATTCTGAATTTCAACAATAACAATAAGAATCTATTAATTCAAATTATACAATAAAGAAGTGAACTCATTACAATCTATTTAGTTAATAAATGCATTACAAAATTAGAACTTAAACACTTTTTTTTTTATATGATGCACTACTCTCTCTAGCTTCATCACTATTTAATGGGAACCTCACTGAATAAGAACAATGTTTACATCTTTAGCTTACAACAAGAAACATATAAAGAAGAAATTATTTAAATAGTTCTTCTTTTCTAATCAATTGAATATGAAATATCAATTAAAAGGGTAAAAACTCAAATCAAAATTTATGTTTGAACTTCATTTTTCCTCGTAAGGTGTTGCACAATGTTGTTATGTCATGACAACCATGAAGGATTCAAATTTCAAAATTCAAAATTCAAATAAATTTTAACTAATGGAGTAGTTGCGGTTGAGTAAAACGGATGGATGGCCATGACGACGATGTCAAAGAACGGAATATGTTGTGGGCTGTGTCGAGGGCTACTTGGCTTAACCGGATAGTTCTTGATGACAGGGACCTTGGAGAAGAACATTGTTTGTCATCGGATCCGTAACAACAAAACCAAATTTATCAAAAATGATACAACATGAGTTACCACAAGTTAGTGAACTGAAATTAGATTATATGATAACTTCGGAATATGGAGTAAGGGGGAGAGGTGAAGCTTACGGTGCGGAGTAGGTAAGATTTCTTTTTTAGTGCGAGCAACGGGTAGCACTTGGCAATTGCGAATAAAAATCTGTTGGGATCCGGTATATGGTTGAGTGCAAACTTGCGTCGGAATCCAAAATCCAATACTCGGTAGAAGGACAAGCAGCAAGGAGAGCTTGATGAGATGGTTGATATGCTAAGTTGGTGCGGTGCCAACATTCTGCAAGGAAATGCCAACTTTGGCACAAATCTGATAAGTAACAACAATATTAGGATTACAACCACCTCTAAATGAAGTGAATCCGGATCTAGTGTTCTTATAGTTTCCACGGGAAGTTGCATTATGGTCTTTATTAAAATTGTTAGAACGAGTTGAAGAACTACCGCGGCGTCTAACAGTAGATTGCAGTTGTCGTTTGATAGTTATCCAAATTTCCACATAGGAATCCAAATTAAGAACGTATGATAGAAAAACGGGTGAAATTGTAGAGTATAACACGAATGCTAAATTTTGATGAACAATCATCAAAGTATTGTAATCATGATTGGGAAGAAATTTATCATCCTCATTAACATTTCGACAAGCATGATTTGGACAGGAGCTATCAAGATAGCCATCAGAACCATTTGTCTTGAATAATTTTAGAATTTGAGATCTCCAAATAAGATGATTGTATGGAGAAAGTTGAAAACCGACACAGTCTTCATATTTGTCATGAGAAAACAGCACCCGGACCACCCAATAATTAGTTACTGATAGAGATAAAGATCAAACCAGCTAGTTATGTATGAATGGTTGTGATTGAATCCAGAAGTATATGGCTGCTCCTTGAGGCATGCATACATGGATAACCAAAACTCCATATCAAATGATTACAATTAACTTATCATTATTCATATGCATGCTTATCATATGTATGTAAAAATCTTCCTATTTGCTTTCCCAAATGATCGGCTCTCTTCTAAATAACTGTTTCTACTTTTTTGATGCATATAGATCAAGACAGAGAGCGGTGCAAAAGTGAAAGCTGAAAAATCAGGGATATATAAAAAATGGAAAGAAAGGTCTCACAAAAACATATCTTTTGGTGGTTCTGCAAATGCTGCTTCAGGACAGGATGCTTCTTCTCGTGCAGGTGAGTCCACATTCTCTCTTTCATAAAAATCTAACTTTTTTTCATATTTTTAGCTTTATCTAATCTTTCGACATGATTGTAAATTCGGTAAAAGTCTTGGAGCCGTTAGATTTGCTTTGAGATGAGTGTTATATACATTGAGAAGAAAATTAAAATTAAAATAAAATTCAGGGGCTTTTCTTTTACATGCATGCCCACATAATTGTTATGTTTTACACATCTAACACCAAAACATTCATATTTACATTCATTATCACTCAAATTCTTAACATCATGTCGAAATGCTGCCATCGCTGTTTCTTAAAAAGTGAAATACACACTTTCGTTATAGATTTATGACATCGGAATGGTATATGTGTAAATATCAAACTTTGGGTGTTAAATATATTAGTACATGAGAATTGTTTGGTCTGTATGTAAATTTCTCTGGTATTTATAGCGGATTTGCTATGAATGATTTGGGCAGTATGAATGTAAAAAGAAAAGAAAAAGAGTAAACTTTAGGGGTTAGATATGTAAATACATAGGAATTGGGTGGGTATGTGTGCAT